ATAGGAGGGCATGTCTTGGTATTGAGTGGCAATAGAGGGCACAAGTGGGATGTAGGCATGGCTGGTTTGGAGACTGATGGCTCAGTTCACCCACATTCTCATCTTTCCTACTGCACTAGCCAATGACTCTCGAATCTGATCTGGAAGTTTTGAATCTCAAGTCAGTTATGAGGCAGAAGCTGGTGGAAGTTGAAGGAGTCCCTTTGTACAGCAGAACTGCAGAGAACTGGGGCTCCATATGGAACTTTAAAGCCCGGCCAGATGACCTTATCATTTGCACTTATCCCAAATCAGGTAAAGGGTAAAGGGAGGGGGCATGGCAGTGTGGAGACAGTAATGGGATGGGGTGTTATAGTATCCCAGATTCTGGGGGCCTATGGATGAATTATGGATCATCTTGTCTTTTTCCGCTCTCCTCTCTCTCTACTAGGGACCACTTGGATGCAAGAAATTGTAGACATGATCCAGCAAGGTGGAGACCCACAAAAATGTGCACGAGCCCCTATTGAGAAACGGTTTCCTTTCTTAGAGGCATGTCCTCGAAAACCCTGGCCCTTTGGTGAGAAGGAAGTACTGCTTCAGAGAGACAGTGGATGAGATAAATTTGAGGGTTCTTTCAGCTTAAGATGGCCAGCATGATGCAGTGGGTCTTAAAAAAAACCCGTATCATTACTAAGGATTCTGTATGATGTGGGATGGGAGGAGGTGAATAAGGGGGGAGGGTATGACACCATGTTGGCCTACGATTCTGGGAGTTCAGGTTTCAAATCCCCACTCCATCATGAAAACCCACTGGGTGACTTTGGGCAAGTCAAGCTCTCAGCCTTTGGACAGGGGTGTGCAATTGTTGGAGGTCATATTAGCCCACACAGGAGACCTTGGAGGGCTGTCGCACACACACATGTGCACACACACAAAAATTTTGGCCACAAATGCCCTGTAAGAGGCATGGAGGTATTTTGTCGCATTTTTGTACCCTCTGGGGCCATTTTTACAAAAAGCAGTGATCCAGAAGTCACTTCCTCTTTTTAAAAGAGCCTAAAATGTGAACATGCCCTTGTCACATTCCCAGAGGACAGTCGGGGCATTTGGAGCTAAGATATTTTAAACATATGCTGGAGACATGGATTCCACAAAAAATGTGGAGAGATGCATGTTGCCTACAGGTGAAACTTTGGTTTTAGGCTAAGGCAATGACAAACCAGTTTCTGAATAAATCTTGCCAAGAAAACCCTATGATATGGTTGTCCTAAGTCAGCACTGACCTGAAGGCATGTATCAACAGAAACAACCATCACTTTAGTATGAGGCTGAATGTTTCCTCCTGGTGTTTCAGGCATTGAACTGGCGGAAGCAATGCCGTCTCCACGCTTGTTCAAAACTCATCTCCCCATCCAGCTCCTGCCACCTTCTTTCTGGCAACACAATTGCAAAGTAAGTACAGGAGGAGGTGGGAAATGGTCTAAGAGAGGGCCCAACGTAACCTGAGTGCCAAGGTATATCTCACCACAGCAGCCATATATGAATAGAAAAGAAATCTACACAAATACTTATAAGAGTGTCACTGCAATCCCTAGGGTTGGTGTCATCCAGGGCAGTAACTCAGTGTCACACACACCCCTTATTCACCTCCTCTCATCCCACACTATACACAATCCTTAGTAATGGTGTGGATTTTTTTGTACTAACATTACTCACAAATAGTAATTCCCATATAACACTGAATATCATGGTAATAGTTGTGACATAAAACAACTGACACAATTAAATGATACCTTTCATCTACAATATCATATGCACAGTATTTACACATGCATTGTTTCATGTGCTTAAAGTGAAAATTTGATAAAGTGTGATGTTTTTAAAGAAAATTTAAAAATTTTAATTTTAAAAAAATTAAATTTTTGAAATTTGAAATTTTAATTTTAAAAAACCCAAAACCTGGGGCCTCTCCTTTTTCCTTCCACTCACCACATCTCTTCAGCAATTTAAAAAGACACAGGCAAATGCCAGAGCTGATTTCTGCCAAAAGGTAGATGTTTGAGCAGTGGCATGACCCTCACTGAAGGTATCCCCTGGTGCAGTGCACACACACAACCCTTGTGATGCCACTGAAGAGTGGAGATGTTTTCAATAGAAAAAGAAGCACTTAAATGAAGTAAGGTTTACTCCCATAGCATGGAGCGTATTTCTTGGAAGGGAACAAAAGACAGGCTTAAAGCCAAAGGATTCTTCTAAAGCTTTTAAAAAGCTATAGAAGGCTCCTACAATGGACCTTATCACATGGGGGTCTAAAGTGCTCGCATCCCCATGCGATCGCGCTTCCTTACCCCGGCTGATCAAACGACGTCGCTGGGAAACCCCGCCCATCCCCGTCGCATCCCGGTCGCATCCCTGTGCTATCGCGCTTCCTCTTTCCAGCTGATCACATGGCGTCGCAGGGAGGCCCCGCCCACCCCGTCACATCCCTGTCGCATCCCTGTGCAATCGCACTTCCTGTCGCCGGCTGATCAAACGACGTCACAGGTAAACCGCTCGCATCCCCGTCCCAATGCAGCATGATGCTGCATCATCCAGGCATCATCCCCGTTCTTTTGAATGCCTGGTCGAAACGGGAATTACATTTCCCGCGACCAGAATGATGCTGGGATGATGCTGCTTTCTGGCCAAGGAAGCGCGATGGGACGGGGATGCAAGTGCTTCAGTCCCCGTGTGATAAGGTCCAATGTGCAGTGGGGACCGGCTGATAAGTAGACTTCAAGCTCCACCTCAAGCCCTATTGCATTTGCTGTTCTATCTGAGAAATGTGCCCTGTGCTATAGTCTGCTGCTCTTAGGAAAAAGTTTGGAAGGCTCCTGAGATGTGAAGTGGTGACAGGCTGCTGAGTAGACCTAAAACCCCTGCCTCAAGCGAAAAGTACAATTCCCGAGCTCTGCATCCACGATTTACAGTGAGCTTTTAAAAGTTATTTAAAAGTTAAATTGAGGCTACAGAGCTGCAAAGCTCCAGAACTGCATGAGAAAGTTGGAAAAAGAACAAAATAATAACACTAGCAAGGGAAAGGGGAGAAGTGTGGCAATCGCACAACTTCCCTGGGAATGACTTTTTGCACCTGGGACATTGTGGGATTGCCAGTTCATTCACAGGTTTCCCTGGTGAATAAAAAGGATGGCTGGAGGAACAGGATAACTACAGATGAGAGGAGGCGTCATGCGATCAGCATTATCAAAGTTGCTTCCTTCCCAGGGAAATCATGGTTTAAAAGCCATCTGTGGTAATCTAGGATTTCTGTGTCTTCCCTCAATTTTGCTCTTTTTCAACAGATCATTTATGTGGCCAGGAACATCAAGGATTGTGCTGTCTCCTATTTCCACTTCCACCTCATGAACAATAGTTTACCAGAACCTGGGAACTGGGATCAGTTTCTGGAAGATTTCATTGCTGGGAAGGGTAGGTGGAAGTTGTGGAAGAACAGAGAAAATGTTCAAGACAACATTATAATCCAGCAAAAAAAGAAGGGCAGAGATATACAAATTCTGGTTTTGCCTAAGGAAGAATAATTGGCGCTATTAGTCAACTAATGGTTAAGAGATTGGCATAGTCCTATGAATCTTATACCCTCCAACAGTCCTGATTTGGCAGGGGCAGTCCTGATTAATCCTCTCTCATCCCACTAGGCTGCATCCTCAATGCAAACACAATCCCATTTGACATCAGTTTAACTGCCATGGCTTAATACTATAGAATTCTGGGAATTGCAGTTTTGTGAGACATTTAGCTTTCTCTGTCAGAGAGCTCTGGTGCTACAACAAACTACAGTACAATTCCCAGGATTCTATAGCACCAAGGCAGTTAAAGTGGTGTCAAACTGGATTATTTCTACAGTGCAAAATGCAGCCCTAGTTTCTCTCTCCTCCCGCTTTCCTCCTTTGTCCTCAGTTTACTTCAGTCGCTGCAAAAGGAGTTCAAAGTACAAAAGTCATTTGGACCCAGTTAATTCAACAGGAGGTAGAGGAGAGCAATTGGCAGAATCTGGTCCTTCCCTTGTATAGTCAGGCAAAAACAAATGTTGCAGCTCTCTTAGATGGTATGTTCTTCTTCATTAATTGTTTTTTTTCTATCGTGACCACACTATGTTCTTGTTTGGCCACACATGTTTCACTTTTAATCAGTGAAATGTTAAAGGGTATGGTGTACCAGCGTGGTTAGTGGTTTGACCATTGCACTATGACTTTGGAGACCAGGGTTGGAATCCCAGTTGATAAACAGGCAATATGCCCAAGGGGGCATATTGTGTAATGAGTGCTCATTCCCCTGTTCTAAAATGAAAATAGGCTTTCTCACCTATTTGATTTGACTCATGGTTGGGAGATTTTGGGAGCTGCTATCCCAAAATTAACCTCCCCCAAGATCTGATCCCCTCCTCAAGAAAATTAAATGGGGAATCTTAGCAGAAAGGTACATGAGCCAGCATGGTGTAGTGGTTTGAATGCTGGACTATGACTCTGGAGACCAGGATTTGATTCCCTGATCAACCATGAAACCCACTGAGTGACCTTGAACAAGGCACACTCTTTCAGCCTCAGGAGAAGGCAACAGCAAACCCCCTCTGAAGAAATTTGCCAAGAAACCCCTGTGATAAGTTCACCTTAGATCACCATAAGTCAGAAACAACTTGAAGACACACAACAAGAAGGAACCTGGGTGCCTTTTTTGATATTTTGCCTCCAACCTAGAAAAACAATAAGATACAACTTGAGTCTCTTTTGCAGTGAACTGGGGCAGCTGGTTCGACCATGTTCGTGGTTGGTGGGACGCTAAGAATCATCACCCAGTTCTGTATCTTTTTTATGAAGACATGAAAGAGGTGAGCAAAACACATACCCTTTCTCCATAGTAAAACATTTATCTGCACAAGAACACCCCTCCTAATATTGCCCCAAGCAGTGACTCTCCTGCTGTCTGTTTCTCAAGCTATCTCCCTATTAGGGAAGAGGTGAGCCAGCATGGCGTTGTGGTTTGAATGTTGGACTACAACTCTAGAGGCCAGGATTCAATTCCCTGCTCAGCCATGAAACCCATAGGGTGACCTTAGGCAAGTCACATGCTCTCAGCCTCAGAGGAAGGCAATGGCAAACCTCCTCTAAACAAATCTTGCCAAGAAACCCCCATGATAGGTTTGCCTTAGGGTGACTTGAAGGCACGCAACAAGAAAAGTGTGGTCTTTTCTGGGACAACCTGCCAGGCAGAGACACAGCCCTGTCTAACAATATGTTCTGTCTTCTTTCCTCCTCCCATCCTTCAGGCTCCAGCTCAAGAAATCTGCAAAATTGCCCAATTCCTGGGCTTAGAGCTCTCAGAACTAGTTGTAAACCGGATTGTACAGCACACAGTCTTCGAAAGCATGAAAGTGAATCCATGGGTTAATCATACTACATTGCCTCCTTTAATTATGGACCATACTGTCTCCCCCTTCATGAGAAAAGGTGAGAAAGAACAGCCAGGTTTTAGTTTCAGATTAGCAATAGCATTTACATTTCTATACCACTTAATAATGAACTTAGCACTCTCTAAGCAGTTTACAGTCTGTAAGCCAATTGCCCCCAACAAACTGGGTACTCATTTTACCAACCTACAAAAGGATGGAAGTCTGAGTTAACCTTGGAGCCCTGGGATCAAACTCACAACCTTGTAGCTACAGTACTGGCATTTAACCACCACCAGGGCTCCCTGAGGGCCAGAACCACCAGAAGCAACTACCTGTAGCCTATGGGATAGTTCAGGGAGGGCAAAGTGGATACTGCAGGTGCATGTAGGTCC